TTCTCTGTTAGATTGTATTGCAAGGTGAATCCCGGTTCCCCAATGATGACCGGTTGTCCAGCACATCTTTCGACCAGTTCCTCCACACTTCCAAAAGTTTCCACCATGCGGCATTCTAGAACATAATTTCTTTAGTACAATACTTACATAAATGAAAAGTGTTGCTTGAACCGGACTTACTCGAGTAGTCATACTTGATATCACAGAACGGACAGATCGTTTTCAATTTAGTGATGGTACCTTGTGGCAGTAAAGGATTTCCAGTCACTATTACTACTTTTTCTCCTTCGGGGAAAACCACCGTCGAGGGTATCAAAAACTTCAACAAATTGACATTCTCAGTGATTTCGAATACTGCTCGTCCTAAACTTGCGTGGTTGAATAATCAAGAATTCGTTGCAATGAAATGAAAGACCACCTGGCTCGCATGGTACAATCCTCTCAAGGTAAGGGCATTGAAGACTGGAGAACGTCGATTTTTCTATTACAATGCATGCTTGCAAGTAGACGGCGTTAGAGCAGAATCTATTCAGTTCATATTCGGTGACGTCTTTGGAGTAGATGATGATGCCAGGAGAGTCCAATGCCGGTACGATCATTTGTTTTCCTGCGCAAGCATTGACAAGCTGTTGAACGGAGAATACTTGGTTTCCAAGACCACAGGCTGCAAACGAGTGTTCAGAGCTAATTCTCTTCAAACGATGAAATGATCATCTTTTCAAGATGACAATGACTCCTTTCATAGTCCGCGATTCGGCCCGCGGGCGAGCGAGCGAGTGACCGGTGGCGGCGCCTGCCCCTTGTTCACAATTGGATCTCGGTCGATACCGCCGGACGAATAGTCCTTCGGTCGCTCGCTCGCGCCCTCGCGAACCGAATCGTGGGCTATGAAAGCAGCCAATGACAAAGAGAACTTCCATTAACGGACCTGGTGCGAAGTATTCCAAGTGGCAGGTCAGGCAGAAGCTTTGAAGGACATTGATTTGTTCACTCGCGAGATAGGGATTGCCTTGTACGACGATGCTTTCGATACACTCCTGGCTGTTACAGGCAGGGAAGCTCAGTACTTCTAACTGGGGATTGTTGACGACCACCAAAGCATTTTTCCCTGAAATGCGAGTAGCTCCATGGAAGTAACCTTTCCTACGTAAAGCTATCGTGAAGGATAATTAGGTTCCTACGTATTAAAATTGGAATCGGATTTATGATAGATTCTACAGAATCGGAACATTAAAAGCCAGAATTTACAATAATCACGAAAGCGGGAAAAGCCGGAAGTTATACAGTTCCCGTACAAATTATATTCCACCAAAAGCTCTCACGAGGTCGCATCTCTGCCTTATTCTTCACCACCAAGGAATGAGATTTTTCCCTCGTCACAAGAGCTATCGGTTCTCTTTAACTGCTATGGAATCCCGGAAAGCACCTGACTAGCAGATTGTTCTGAGATTTTTGCATTGTTTTCTGTCTGGATTTCTCTTTTGAGGTGAAACTGGTGAAAGGTACTTAGATGTCGTATGATACACTTTGAGGTACTCCCGTCTCATCGTAGAAGAAAAATCAGCTACCTGGTGCGCAAGACGTCCATTGCATCAATTTCGGGAATACCAGTTGCNGTATGGAAGACATTCGGACAACGAGGCACATTTGTACTTCAACGGCATTTACGAACAATTTTGTGATTTGCTCTTCCGTCATAACCAGTTGCTGCTCCACTCCAAACTTGAACGTGATTATTGGTTGTCCTGCACATTTTTCGACGAATGCTACAACGTCTCCAATGGCTTCTAACTCGCTACAAGCTGAAATTCGAATCTGTCATTCAAAAGGACTCGATCCAGTTTTATCTATGTTGAAAACCATACTTGAAAAATCGTTCTCAATTTGGCACATAGGACAGACTTGCTGGAGCTGTTGGACAATCACAGATGAGAGCTGTGCATTTCTGTCGATGATAATGACATTCTCGTTGACCGGGATAACAACCGTTGTGGGAATTTCCACTATCGTTAAATAAGGGTTGTTGATGATTTCGATTGCTGGTCTTCCTGCAGAAATATATTAATAAATTACTGCGCAAGGAATGCTCCTGAGATCTGAATTTGAGAGAAGTTGTAGTCTTTTTTACAGGCACAGTTCACGATAAAAATGGCTTCTGAGATTTTTCAGGATATGAATTCGAGACTCCCCTTATACCATATCTTTCGTTATAAGGGCGGAAAACGTGCTGGATAGGCCACAATGAGGAACCAGGGATTGTATCGTGTGAATGTCACGCCCCTGGTGGACGAGTTCCAATGGCTCCGTGGAGGCTGCACCATTCGTAAGGGAACCAAACTAGGAAGTTCAAACAACTTGTCATGACCCATAGCGACAGTGAAAGGCAATTCTCTACAGTTTTGACCTGATGTAGTCAGCTCTTTGCACGATGGGAGCAAGTTGAATCTCGTCCGAAATCCCTGACATGCCATCCCTGTCGCGGTGATCTCGCACAACCTCCACTTCAACTACTTTTAAAAACCTTGAAGTAATCAAATTTTCTCGCATTCTTTGCAACCGATGTGCTCCTCTACATCAACACTTCCGCTTTTTACACGAAAAAGTGTACCTCAAAGTTATCGTGAACTGTGCCTATAAGAGCGACCATTAACATATTCGCCTGAAATAATCAATCGGATATTCTCAGTCATGCAACCCTTTGATATCATTGATCATGTTTTCTTTTCCCATGCATGGCAAACAGAGCTAGTAAAAATTCTATAAAAAAGTGGATTATTTCTACTCAATTTACACATGTGAGTAGTATAAACGTACCAGGTTGACAAGGCACCAGCTTTTGTAGATAAGGGCACCTCAGGCTGGTGTACATGGAATTAGTGATCTGGATACATGCTTGCATGTAAATGACATTGGCACAAAATGCGTTCATCTCAGCCTGAGTGACTTCAGTGGACTTGATGACAATGACTGTGCCCTCGTTCGGTGTTATGATCGTTTTTTCTGCACAGGCCGTCACGAGCTGCTGCACTGTATAGGTTTGGTCTCCGAGGCCGCATGCTACAAACTCATTCATATTTTCAAGAAAAAATAGTGGTAATAACATTGAGGATGTAGGCGATAGGCTTTACTCACGTTGGAGCAATTTCTCCTTAGGAGCCAGATAAGAACTTGCCAAAATAATTCTTTTCCTTGAATTGAGTAAAAGCTGATGGTGTGAAATGAAAGTAATATTCTTTCTTGGGTTTCGATGTCACTAAAAGTTCAAAAAGGGAGGGCACGCATCGATCACGT